AAGCCTCTGCCCAGCGGGACAACCAACGTCTGTCTGCCCTTGTCCGCCCTTTCCTGCCTCAGGAGGTGTGGGGGTAGGGGCACACCGTCCCAGAAGGGCACCTCTGTAGGGACCAACTGAACCTGAGGTGGGAGGGCGTCAAGGCTGGGAAGCAAGGTAGGCCAGGGGAAAGGAGCCCTTGACAGAGATTTTCCCTGAAGAAAGGCAAGTTGCTAGGCGACTCACAGGGCAGTGTCTAGAAATGCCCACACTGTACAGTGTGCATCTTGGCCCTCCGCTGGAGAGGAGCTTCGTATCTCTTCGGTGAGGGGCTTGTTCTGGGTTAGGGGAATAATCCTTTATCTCCCCCACTGAAATCAGAGACCATTTAGGGCAGTGACCTCATCAGCACTACCCCAGTGCCTGGCATGTAGCAGGGGCTCAGGAAACGTTTGAGTGAATAAATGATGCCAGGTCAGACTGATTCAGAGAAGCAGCAATTAGGAGGCTACCGGATGGAACCAGGCTGGATGATGGGGAGGGGACCCACCTGGTCAGCTTGACAGAACACCAGAGAGGAGAGGTTGTTACCCAACCAAGGTCCAATACTTCCAAAGGCCAAAACTCAAAACGTCAGAGGGTTGGAGTAAGGAAAAGTTTGTTGATCCAGAAGCCTCCAACCAAGAAGATGGGATCCAACCCAGATCCATCTGAAACTAACATATAAAGTTAAGTAATAACTACACTGATATATATATATTTTTTACACCCCCCCATTTGTACTCCCAGCGGGGCAGGCTACAGAACTTCAGTGGGACACAATTCAGTCCGTAACTCCTACTGAACCAGAGCCCGCACTACGTAAGGTCCGCAGGGGGTTATGTGCATGGTAAAGATTGAGGAGTGATGCTTTATATCACGTATGTTGGAAAAGAAATGGCAGCGGGCGGTCAGCTTGGACCTGACACCTTGTGTGTGTTCTGAGGCAGATATTCCACAACCGGCTTCCTGGGCCTATGTTTTTTTTTTTGTTATTGGTTGAGATTAGCTAAGTTACTATCATCCTAATAACTACTAGGTATAGAAGACTTGTATATGCCAAGCCCTTTGCTGAGTATTTCATTTGTTTTACCTTATTTTATTCTCCTAATAGCCCTATGAGATACGTATTATCAGTTTACAGAGGAAGAGATTGAGGCTGGGATACATAAAAGTCAGTTGCCCAAGTGCTCACCAGGAAATGTTAGAGTCAGGGTTGGAAGGCATTTTCCCTGTTGGGGGTGGTCATAGTGTGGTCCAAGGGCCAGCAGCATCAGCATTACCTGATGCTGTTAGAAATGCAGTTTGCATCTTCAAGGAAGAAATTCCGGAAGTGGAGCCCAGTGACCTGTGTTTTGTGAAGTCCTCCAGATGACTCTGATGTACTCACAAATTTGGGGACCACTGTTTGAAGCTATACCCGTTTTCATTGTAGGCAGGACAACACTGGTGACTTTGCAGAGAAACCTCAAATAATAAAGATTGAATTCAACCGTGAAGGTCACCGGGGACTGGCCCCTGTGGTGAGTGCCCAGAGTAGCCCATCAGCTGGGACACCCGGCCAGGCTCTCCCCCTGCCTTGTGTCTCTGTCTCTCTCTGACTTGGTTGGTCCTCCTCCCTCCCTCGTCATTGCCCCCCAGGTGTTATCCCCTTCCTGGGGCTCCTCGTTGCTGTTTCTGGCTGATCACCCAAGTCCCCTCCTCTGGCCAAGGCCACCCTTGAGGGCTGGCTCCCCTCTAAATTGGATGCAAGACACCTGTTCCCACGTGGGTCCTTCTGCACAGAGGCTGCCACATGGCCACAACTGAGCTCTTCATAACCTCCCTGCCTTGCAGCCTCCTCCTGGCCTTGGCATTGCCTGTGCCTGTTATTAGGCCCTCAGTAAAAGTATGGGGAACGTAATTGAAATTAGACTTTCTGCTCAAATAGTGTTTATTCAAATCTGATTTCGCCTCACAAAAACACTTGAAAAGAGTGGAGTTGCCATTCCCAACCCCTTAATGTATGAACGGCTCTGTCTGACAGGACGACTCCAGAAGGAGGCAAAGGAACCACTACAACTTAACCTTCTGCTCCTCCACTTTTCTCCGGGAATCAGGCAGTGACAAGCATGTCCACCAGGGGGCAGCGTCTGCTGCTTTCCAGCCCTTGGCTGGGCGCTGGGACTTGGTTTTGGAAAGGCTGCCTCTGAAAGGACCCCTGGTAGGGAAGAAGAAGGGTACCTAGGGGGCCCTTTTACACATCCCCCCAGCCCCCACACACTCATTCTAAGAGGTAGATTATGTTTTTTTCCATGTTATTCTGGAGGAAACTAAGCTGGGGTTTGAAAAATGGGTCTCTGAGGTTCCCAAGCTGACAGCTGCTGCTTGGAATCCGCTTCCCCAGCCCACCTCTCTTCTTCCGTTCTTCCGTTCGTGCGCCCCAGACAAGCACTTGCTTCGGATTCTGTGCTGCGGAGGCAAGGATGTCCTCGGCACTTCCTAGCTGAGCTCCATCCATTCCCTCCCCTCCCCTTCCCTTCCCTTCCCTTCTTGGTAGCGTGGATTATCATGGGGAAGGGACCTGGATCCTCTAAGGCCCTCATCACGTGCTGAGGAAACTGGGGATCCCAGCAGGAAAGTAGCCTTTCCTAGCCAGCATACCAGTGAGGCCTGCCAAGCTGTGAAGGGGGCCTCTCTCTCCAGAGTCATCCCCCCCCCCACCCCAGCCTGTTTTTCTCCTCCAAGAATTCCCTCCTCTCTAGTTAAAGCTTGCATGTCCAATAATTCTTAGACCTTGCCAAGAATGCTCAATCCAGTATCAATAGAACCCCTAAGGGCTCAAGGACTCCAGACCAAGGAACCAGGGGCAGGTGTTTGGGTCCCCTACTCAGGAACCCCTAGTACATTTACTCCTTCCCTCCTGCATTCATGAATTCCTGCAGGATCTCCTGACTACCTGTGCGCCAGGCATGGTTGGGCACTATGGAGCTGTGATGAGAAAAACCAGCTGCTGGGCTCAAGGCTTCATCGTGGTCATGGCGGGGGAGCCAGCTCTGAAGAAGAGCTTCGAGGACGCAGCTGGAATCTGTTCAAGGTGGGGGAGCCCGCAGCGGGGAGCAGGGAGGTCCCAGCCAGTCTGTCCTGTCTAGGATTCTTACCTGATGCCTTGTCACTTAAACCTGGGTCCTAATGTTACTTATTGGAGAGGCCTGCCTGAGTGCCCCCCAAATCTAAAACAGTCCCCTTCCCTGGTCACTCTTCAGCACACGTGTCTGCTCTGTTTTCCTTGATGGCTTCAGGTATCACCACTGGAAATTAGTTTCTTTGTTCATTGGCTGTCTCTGCCCAGTCCCCGCCACAATGTACCCTTTATGAGGGCAGGTCCTCATCTGTCTCCTACAGGGCTGTAGGGCAGAGCCTAGAATGGTTGGTGCCTTGCCTGCAGCAGGCACTCCACGCACGAGTGTTCAGTGTACACATGTTTGAACATCTGATGCGGAGAAGCCCCTGACCCAGGGGAAAAAAGAACTGTTTGATTGTTTTCACAGCGACTGCCCCAGCGCACTAGGTCTGGGGCTGTTATCTTCTGGCGAGAAAGGGCTGCAGAGCAGGATGCCAGGCCAGCAAAAGGCCACTAATGGAGGAAGGCTTTCTGGGGCCAGGGCTGGGGGTGGGGACCGCACTTCCCATTTAAGGAGATGTGATTGGGGTGGGTCCACAGTCTGGTGCTGCCCAGCCAGGCTGGGCCCCTTTCTTCACCCCTCGCCTGCCCCACCTCCTGCTTCCCATTTGTTCATCAACACCTTCCCAGGCAAACACAAAAGGTGAAGGGTGGGGTGGGGTTGCCAGTTTCATATCCTTCATCAGATAATCTGGGGACAATTTCTTTCTTGGGTGTGAGACTGGGGAGATACAGGATTAATGGGAAAGAAGTCTCAAAGACTGTTGAAGAAACACAGGACCATCGACACGTTTTCGGTTCTCTGTTTCTGTGTGTTTTTTGGTTTCAAAGCCATTGTAACATTTGCTCAAAGCCAAGTTTGGCCAATTTTTGGCTGAATAACCTCGAGTAAATTACCTAACCTTTCTGTGCTTTGGTTTCTTCCTTTTAGAACAACCATACTTATTTCTCGGGTTGAGCTGTGCATTGAAAAAGGAAACGTATGCAAGGTTCTAAGACCAGAGCCCGACAGGCAGTGCCCACTCGCTGGGGGAGCGGCTCCTCTTGGCTTGCTCTGTCTTCCCCTCTCCTAACTCAGTGCACTCAGCTCCACCTCCGTCTGTGTCTTAGCCTCTGCAGCCACCAGCCACCCCCCCAAGTGGGGTTGTTACCAGCTAATTTTCTAAGGTCTTAATCTCTTCAGGGACTCAAGGAGGCTTCCAGCATCTTGGAGGCAACCAAGTGGCTGGTTTTGTAGCAGGGCAGGGAAGAGGGAGGTGGGAAGGCAGGCTGGTGCCAAACGGATGGGGAGCTAGTGGGCAGGAAGGGCTAGACCGTCTTCACTAGCAATGACTGCTCCTCCCCTTTTTCCAGTCTCCCTCAAATACAGCCTTTAAAAAGTTAATATTGAGTTATGTAATAAATGCAACTACCTGACCTCCTCGCACAAATGAAGATATTAGAGTTATGATTTCATTTTCCTCTCCTCCTTCAATTTTACCTTATTGCTGTCATCCTTTGGGTCACACTGCCCCTTTGTGACATCTCTTTAGGGACGCCAGGTTGGATCAGCCTGCAATGGCTGGGGAGGTGCCTCCTAGTCCTGAGTCCCTCCTAATCAATCCTTCACAGGACTAATTCACTGGTAGAAACCTTTCCAGAAGCTTTCATTGGACACTTTCCTTTTTCTGAAGTCCTACAAGTCATGATTTACAAAGGCCTAATACATTTAGTGTTCTGCACTCTCACTGCGTCCCGTGTTGATGAAAGAAACACCCAAAATTCTGTAGAGAAATTTTATGCGTTTATATGAGCCAAAATGGATGACAGTTGCTGGGATTCGAGATCTCAAAAGCTCAAGATGATGACGATTTAGCAGTTTCTTTTATGCATTTAAAATTAAACAGGGAAATAAGAAGGATTGATTTCATGAGGTGGGAGAAAGCGAGGTAGGGATTGGATTACAACCAGTGCACCGCAAGAATTTTTAAAACGTGCAACACCCGACTATTTAATCAGGGGCACTGACCTTTTTCCCTTAGATTGTCAAATTAAAAAAAAATGACAGAAGCCAACACGACAATAGCCATCAGGTGTGAACGAATCAAAATTATACCTACTGTTTTGTCAGATCTGGACAAAATGTATTTTTGGGTGTGCCGCAGAATTTTAGTAATTAGTTTATGTGTGCCCTGTGGTGAAAAAGGTTGAAAGTTGCTGGATTACAGTATAATTAACACGTTGTGTTAAGTTTATTTACCAAGATCCGTGAAAACATTGGACAGGGCTGCTTAAGGGAAAGGAACACCTTTCACTGAAAAGTTACATTCGGGGGGTGTGGCTGCTCGCCAGGAGCTGCAGTCAGGACCTGCAATTTAGGGTCAGACCACCCTGTGAGGTTACTGTTGGTAGAACCCCTTTTGTCCACATCTGTCAGGGGCCAGCCTTGTCCTTCTTCTGAGTGTAGAGGAGAGACCAGGCCCTGTGCCCCACGCACCTTCTGTATTCCCGTCCTCTCTTTGGCTTCTGCAGAACACACCCTGTAGAAAGGTCAATAAAGAAGAATCCTATCTTTATCTCTTTGAACAAGGAAGGCCCTTAGGGGATTTGCTGCCCATCACCTGACCAGCCACTGAAGGGTTTGTTTTCGCGGTGGGGGGGGGGAGGGCGGGCGGGGGTGGTGCTAAGGGGTGCTTGGCCCTACAGGTTCGTGGATGAGAGCCAGATCGTTCCGTGGTCAGGAGCCCAGGGACTGGATTGAGACAGGTGCTGGTTAAGCCTCTTACTACTTATGTATAACCTTGGACCAGTCATTGAACCCTTTGCGTTTTCTTCGCCTATGAAACGCCGCAACACCAATCCCTACCTCCAGGGGCGTTGTGAGAATCCATAAGGATAACGGGTTTAGACTGTTTCATGGGGTTCCAGGTTCACACAGGTTTGAATACTGAATTAGGGAACATAAGGGGGAAGATTGTCAGCAGTCCTGGGGAGAATCTGGCGGAGGAATTTTTACACGTGGGTGGAAAACTCTGCCTGGGGGAGGAAGACGAGGTATTATTAAGCTGTTTACTTCCGCGTTCGACGCTGCCACGCGCGCGTATTCCTTCTACCCTTTCCACTATCTATCCCTGATTCCTCTCGTTTCATACCAAATATTAGAATACGGCAGAAAAGATCAATTAAAACGGCCGCAGATAAAGCAGACGCCCATCTAAGCGAGGTCCCGGCTGCGGCGCGCACATCCCCACGCCCGCGCTGCCGCTGCGGGGCTGCTGATTGGCCCGTGGAACGTGACGTCACTGAAGGTATTTAAGCCGGAGTCCCGGAGCCCTCGGCTGTGCTTGCGCGCTGCTAGTCGCCGTGGACTTCGGCGTGGCTTTTCGAGTGGCTGGCGCGGAGGGGCGCAGGAGAACGCCGCCGACGGAGGTGAAGGGGCTGTGCAAGAAGGGCTGAGGCGGCCCCGGTGTGGGGCCTGGGGAGTTGGAATCGGCGACTAGAGAGGAAGGCTGGCAGAGGAGGGTGGCTGGGCGGTGGAAAAAGGGGTCGCGGTGTAAGGAGGGGCGTGTCAGCCGCCCGGGGATGTGGAGGGTGTGTGGGAGCAGTCGTCAGTCTCCGGTCTCAGCGCCTGCACCGTAAATGTTAATGTAGGGGCGCTGTCCAACCTGCCCCTTCCCGCGAGGATTATCGCCCGGGGAATAGGGGTCGCGGCACCTGTTACCGCACGGCAAGTGGAAGAAGAGACGCTGGGAGCCAGCGGTCTGCGGGATCCAGGCCTCACCCTCACCTCAGCGTCCCTGAACTAGGGGTTACTCTAGGTCTCACCACCCTTGTTAGGACCTGGGGGAGAGGGGAGCGCCTTTGTTACACCTGCAGCTGCTTAAAAAAAAAAAAAAAGCAATTTTAACAAGGAAGCATGGGTGGCTGATTTGGGAAAGGATCAAGAAGTTGCACATTTCATGTTTGTTAAACCTCTTCTCCTTTTCTCCCTCATGAACTTTCCCTGTTCAGATAGCCAAGCTGTGGTCCCCAGAGCCTGCAGTTTCAAGGCCACCTTCGTGACTCTGCCGTGAGCCCCAAGACCCTCACCGTAGCTGTAGCTCACCATGGGGAACCACTTGACAGAGATGGCACCCACCACCTCCTTCTTGCCCCAGTTCCAGGCCCTGCACGTCGTGGTCGTCGGGCTGGACTCAGCTGGAAAGACCTCCCTCCTTTACCGACTCAAGTTCAAGGAGTTCGTCCAGAGCGTTCCCACCAAAGGCTTCAACACGGAGAAGATCCGGGTGCCCCTGGGAGGGTCCCGTGGCATCACCTTCCAAGTGTGGGACGTGGGTGGGCAGGAGAAGCTGCGACCGCTGTGGCGCTCCTACACCCGCCGGACAGATGGGCTGGTGTTTGTGGTGGACGCTGCGGAGGCGGAGCGGCTGGAGGAGGCTAAAGTGGAGCTACACCGAATCAGCCGGGCCTCAGACAACCAGGGTGTGCCGGTTTTGGTGCTGGCCAACAAGCAGGATCAGCCCGGGGCACTGAGCGCCACCGAGGTGGAGAAGAGGCTGGCAGTGCGGGAGCTGGCTGCTGTGACACTCACCCACGTGCAGGGCTGTAGCGCTGTGGACGGGGCGGGGCTGCAGCCGGGCCTGGAGCGCCTGTATGAGATGATTCTCAAGAGGAGGAAAGCGGCCCGGGGAAGCAAGAAGAGACGGTGACCCCAGGCCGCCCCCTCCTCACCAGTAGGGGTCTACATACATAGACAGCCAGGCAGAGCCTGTGGCCCCTCGCTCAGCCCCAGGCTGCAGGACCGGTCCACCTAAGTGAAGGACTGAGGAGCACACTGGGCGTCCTGCTTTGGTGTGGCATTGGGGGAGGGGGATGTGAGACGGGCTCCCCTCTCCCCCTCATCCTCACCTCTGGAGATGCAGGGGCTGCAGAATTGAGGAGGCTTCAGTACAAACTGCAAATCTACCTCGACCTTCTTAGTTTTCTTTGGCTTTCTGATTAGATGTGTTTGGGGTCAAAGGGAAGTGGCTTAGAGAATGCATTTGACATGAACAAGAGTGTCTCTGCCCCCCCCCCCGCCCCCCCCACCTCCCACACAACTGGGGAGTCCCCCCAGGCTGCTTTTCTAATAGTCTTTATTTTTGTGTCTGTGTGAAGTGCCAAGAACCCCTCCCCACATTTGTAGATCCACAGCCGTTTTATAAGCCATGTGTGTCCTCTGTATTAACTATTTTTTAGCCTCTATCTGTAAGTTATTAAAGATTGATGATACTATACCTCTAACCTTGGTCTGGCATTTTCCTCCCTCCTTACCTAGTCCCAGGCATAGTCAATTTCTCTGTGGGCTGCGGTGGGGTTTGGGGGTTGGGTGGTAAGAACTTCTCTTGAAGTTGAATTTTCCAAGCAAGCCCTCTTCTAAAAATTAGAGTTGAACTTCTCCCCCAAGTGATTGCCTAACTGCTGGTATTTGTAGGGGGGCGGGGGGCGGTTCTTCTCCTTTCGGCTACTTTTCTCCCCTCTTCTCATCCTGTGGCTCTTACTTGCCACCATACAAGTTGGTCCTTGCAGATTTAACTTCTAAATGTGCTGGTCTGAGCTGTTCCTAGGCTTTTGCCCTTGGGGATACCTCCTTAGGTAAGTCCTCAAAGAACCGGTCTGTCCCATTCTCCCCTTGGATTGGCCTGATTTTTTTTTTCAGCCTTTGTTGGGGGGGGGTGGTTCCTGTGAGAATGGAAAGTAATTTCGTCCTGGCCTAAAGCAGCCTCAGGTGCTCAACCTGCTGACTGTGCTTACTGGCAGCAAGGGCGGCCTGGTGCCAGGGAAGCCTGGGCTGGATTGAGCCAGCCTGGCCCTGTGACTAAGCCATTACTCTCCTAAACTCTGGGAATGGTAGCTATTCCCAGGAGAGGGGCAGTAGTAGCAGCTGTTTGTGCCTGGTGGGAGTGAGGACTGCTGGACAGCCACCCTCAGCCTCCAGAAGCAGGGGAAGGCACAGGCAGCCAGTCTTAGCAGTGGCAGTAAGATGCTAATGTCGCAAAGGCCTGAGTGCCCATGCCCCTTCCTCACCGGCATCAGGGCCAGCTGCGTCTGAGATAACTGACCATCAGCCCCTCCTAACCAGTGGGAGTAATGAGGAAAAACCCAGCAGAATTCTTCCCAGCCCCCAGCGCTGGCAGTCACACAGCCTTGAAGCAGATGTGGGATCTCCAGGGCAGGTCCTGGCTCCATAAGTAGGTGAAAGGACCTGGGGAGGGGGAGAGGTGCTGGCAACCCTCTCCTGGGGGGGGGGGGGGCTTCCCAAGGGACTTGCTTCTTCCAAGCCAGGCTGGCAGAAGCCAAGTTTTGCTGCTGAGTCGGCCAGTTCAGATTGGCTACCTGTCCTCCCCACCCCCCACCACTGTGGCTGCCAGGACAGGGGTGAGTGTGCATTGGTCCGGAAGGGTGCCCAGGGTGCATAGGTGCTGGGGCCTGCTTGACAGAGCTGCTGGGCTGGTTCTGCTGGGGACAGGTGATGCCCAGCCCCCCTCTACACATGGCCTGTGACTCATGGATCCCAGTCCTCCCTACAGAGCCCTCTTCTGCAACCCAGGAACAGGCTGGGGAGGACCTGGCACGTGTGTTCTCCATTTCTGGTTATCTAGGAGACTGAGGTCTCTGGATTTGGGAGGATGCATCCACAGGTCCTTTCCCTTCCCTAGCAGAGGGGATTCCAAGGTGTCAGCTCCTGGTTCTGGCTCTGCCAAACCCCCTCCCTGTCTGATTAGGACCATGTTCTGCTCCCTCTGGGCGGGCCTGGGGGTCATGGTGCACAGAAGACCAGTGGATGTCCCAGCTCTTCCCCACATCCCTCTGGCCTGACCAGCTGGTGGGGGTGGGAAGTGGTGCACGTGAGAACATGATGGAGAAGCCAATTGCCTTGTAGGGGGTGTGGGGAGAGGGGAGCACTGGCGAATTCTAATTAGAAAACTACATTCTGGCTGGTGTAGGTGGGGAGCTTCAGAATAATCTTACCTTGTCCATCCCTCCTACGTGTTCTGCATGTCGAGCTTTAGGGCCAACGGTTTGGGATGGGGCTGGGGGTCAGCGCTGGAAGTGGGATGTAGTCCCCCTGTCCTAGTTTCTTTATTAAGAAGCCTTCCTTTGAGACCCTGAGCTGGATGCTGAGGGAGAGCCTCCCTCAGGGCAGAGGGTCTCTGGGGGCCAGGAGTGGTGGGCAGGGGTCAGCTGCGTGTGAGGCAAAGCTGAAGGAAACCAGTGGGCCCAGAGGTGAGCCCCGCCCCCCGCCCCCCCGAGCTGCCCTCGCCCCGCCCATCCTCACACAAGTTGGACTATAAAATCCAGATGGAGGGCTCTTTCCCCGGGGGCCCTGCCCTCTCCATCCACTTCTTAGGAGGGCAAAGATGGTGGCGGTCCCCTTCCCACTTTCCCCCCTCCGGGCCTCTCCTGCTGCACTTACTCAAACAAGAGTAAAAGCAAAGAGGAAGAAAAGAAGTCCTTAAGGGGGGAAGTGACTTGCCCAAGGACACACAGCTCCTTAGCGGTACATCCAGATCCTTCCTCCCAGGCCAGCTCTTTGTACTCCTGGCCCAGACAACAGGAGATAGGAGCCAGGCGGCAAGTCCGGCGGTGTCTCAGAGCCTGACCTCCCTTTCCCTTCCTCCCTCCAGGCCTTGATTAAAGTAAGGGCCGGCTTTCCGCTCCCTCACTCCCCTTCCTGCAGAGTGGGAGTTTTATCTCTGAAGTGCAGTACAGCCCGGGCTTCAAATCTGGCCAGAAGTCCCCACCCTCCTTTCACACTGACCGTGCGTCTTTCCAAGTCTTTCTTGAGATGGACGCCTCCACTGGGGCCTGGGAAGCGCTGAATTTCACTGAAGCACGGACGGCGCACAGGACGGCCTGTTCCCCAGCACACGCCGTTCTGGATGGAGGCCAGCGGGAGGAGGACTGGACGCGGGCAGTCGGGGAGGCCCAGGCCAGCACGGGGCTGGAAGGGCTGAGCACTCTGTAACTACACATCATTTCCAAGGCCATCTGCTGGACCAGGGCTGGGGAGTTTACGGGTGGGTGTTACGGGACCCCCTCCCTAGCTAAGCCAGGATGCTTTTCTTCCTTTTTCAATTCTTCTTTTTTGCTTTTCTCTCCCTCCCCCACCTGCTTACAAAAGTAATAGATCTTTGTTGTGAAAGCAATTTAGAAACTTGGAAAATGGAGGACCCCATAATGTAAACTTCAGTGCTAGCTCAACATCTGAACAGGTTTTTATATGTAGTTCTCCAGATATTTTTCCTTTGCATATTCACAAAATGTAGGTAAGATGTAACACACGTGGGATTATATAAGACATTGCCATACAGTTTTGCTTTTCTGGTTTTTTTTTTTTCCGACTGTAAAAGAAAGCTTATTTAGAAAGCCACAGAGGTAGAAGAGTGAGCTGTGGAGGAAATGGGCTCAGGAAATAAGATACAGAGTCAAAAGGAGGGCCCTTGGAGCTTGGGAGAGAGAAGGTTAAAGGTACCGCAACCGGGGGGAGTGGAGGGAGGGGACCGGAAAGGCCAGGGTGTGCCCTTACAAGGGAGAGCCTGCTTCTCTCATTTATATTTGGGGCATTATTCAATGTCAGGACATAGGGATTTTCCTCATTCTTTTTGATGTCTACATGAGATTCCATTAAATGAATGCACTATAATTCATTAACTGAATTCACAGAGTGTCCGCAGTTACGAACTTCCTTGCACGTATGTCTCTGTACAACTGGGGGAAGATTTACGAGAAATCCCTAGAAGTGTAATGGTTGTCAAAGGGTACACGTCCCAAGTTTTCGTAGAGAGTGCCGAAGTGTGAGTTTGTGTAGAGAAGAAGGTTGGGTGGGCAGGGAAATGTGATCGAGCCTCTGAATCCCCAGATTTCAAGGCCTCTTCAAACTGAGGGGTGTGTTGTGTGGGGTAGACATTAATCTGCTCTTGCTTTTGTGGAAGTCAGAAATACAATCACCAGCTGGGGTCGGGTGCTCAATGGTTAGAGCGTTGCCCCAATACCCCAGGATTGTGGTTGGGTTTCAGGTCAGGGAACAAACAAGAAGTAACCAGTGAACACATAAACAAATCAATGTTTCTCTCTTTCAAATCAATAAATTTAAAAAAATGTTTGAGGCTAGTGGATTGAGCACTGTCCTGCAAACTGAAGGATTGCTGGTTCAATTCTCCTTCAGGCCGCGTGGATTGTGGGCCAGGACCCAGTGGGGGGCATGCGAGAGGCGACCACACATTGATGTTTCTCTTCCTTTCTTTGTCCTTCTCTTCGCTCTAAAAATAAATAAATAAAATCTTTTAAAAAATTAAAAAATTTCTTTTTGAAAAGAAGTAAAATCGCCAGCAACTTGGCAGAAGATTTGCAGGCCTCGGGGATGAGCTTGGGTTGATTTACCCAGCCTGGGAATTGAGCCCCATCCGGAGCTGCCTGGCTGATGCGGAGGTGGGCAGATGGCGAGGACTCCCTAAGCACCGTCTTCTTGCAGAAGGCAGGCAGAGTGGGCGAAACAACTCCTAAAATAAACCCCCATAACTCGGCTCAGGCAGGGAGTCAGGCCGAGACTCGGAGTGCACGACGGGAAGCGAACGAGGAGAACAGACCGGGAGCCTGGAGGAGGGCAGCAGAGGGCCCTGGCCTCCCCCAGGCGACCCCAGACTAACTGGAGGGGACCCGCACCAACTGCCATAGCTCATGAACTCCTGGAACAGGAAGCAGAAGCCTGGGTGTCACAGACCTTGGCCACTGGGGCCCATTTAGGGCTCCACCTCTCATTAGCTCATTCAGGCCCGGCCTAATCCGGGGCCTGTGTCCCTCCAGCCCGGCCCGGGGTGGCACGAGGTAGGGAGGCTGGAGGGTTTCTGTTTATCTCTTGAGCACCTCCCACCCTCTTCTATTAGATCTTCCAGAGCGATTGGTGGGGGAGGGTAGGAAGGACAGCTGGGGTTTAGAGATTGCTGGGAGTGAGGTTTTGTGCTTTTGATTGTGTTTGTTTTTACAAGATTACCCATTGCCTTTCACTCCAGATGCTGACTCTTATCCTGAGGGAGAGGGAAGGCAGAACTGCTTACTCACTCTCTGGAACTCCTCCAGTCTGGCGGGGGAGGAACAGAGGAGCCTCGAATCCGACCAGGCGGCACCTCGGAAAGTAACCCCCAAGCCAGACTTGGCTGTGCCACCAACTCTGTGACCTTGAGCAAGCCAGTCCCAGTCTCCTGGCCGCAGTTCACAGTTTACGCTTCTGTAAAGTGAGGGGGTTGAGTGAACAATATCAGATCTTTTCTGGTTCACTTTTGTTTACTTACTTACTTAAAAAATGTATGTGCCCCAGCTGGTGTGGCTCAGTGGATCGAGTGCTGGCCTGTGAATTGAAAAGTTGCTAGTTCAATTCCCAGTCAGGGCACATGCTTGGATTGTGGGCCAGGTCCCTGGTTGGGGGCATGGGAGAGGCAATGAATTGATGTCTCTGTTGCACACTGATGTTTCTCTCCCTTTCTTTCTCCTTCCTTTCCCATATCTCTAAAAGAAAGAAAAAAGTATTCTGATTAACGAGAGCCTTGGGGCGGGGACTGTGGGTTTCGGAGTGCTTTCTTGGCCCTACTTGCTGCTCAGGAGAAAAGACCTAAGTCAGAGGTTTAAAACACACTGCTTTGTTCTTCCCTCCCCAGTAGTTAGTCACCTGGCCCGCGGTTCTCCTGGAGTCTGTTTACCACTCCCCTCCCTCGGTTCCTCCCAAAGTCACCCCAGAGTCCTCAACCTGCATTCCCGCTCTCTGCCTCTGCCCTGCAGGGGAGCCCAGTGTGGGCAGGGGTCGGGAAGGGACTCCCGAGATTTCCACCTGTGCAGCCCTGTATGGCGGCCGCCACGTGCGGTGACTCAGCAGAGACCATGGGGCCGAACTGACCCAGACGTACTGTGTGAAATACACAACTGAGCTGGAAGACTTAGTACCAACAAAATGTAAAATATTTTATTCATACTTTAAAAAATATTTTATTTACTTATCTTTAGAGGGGAAGGGAAGGAGAGAGAGAGAGAAATATTAATGTGTGGTTGCCTCTCATGCATCCCCCGCTGGGAACTGGCCTGCAATCTAGGCATGTGCCCTGACTGGGAATTGAACCACGGTTGTTTGGTTCACAGGCCTGCGCTCAATCCACTGAGCTACACCAGCCAGGGCTATTCATACTTTTTTAAAAAATTGATTTGAGAGAGAGATGGAGGGAGAGAGACAGAGAGACATTCCACTTGTTGTTCCACTTATGTATGCATTCATTGGTTGATTCTTGTATGTGCCCTGACTGGGATTAAACCTGCAACCTTGGTGTATTGGGTGGATACTCTAATCAACTGAACTACCTGGCCAGGGAATCATTCATTCGAACTTTTTAATATAAATATGTTGAAATAAAAAATTTTAAATACATTGAGTTAAGTAAAAAACACGAGGTTATCAGAAATTCTAAAATGGCATGCGGTTCACATTCTATTTTTACCGACAGCTCAGGCCCGGACATTGGGAGACAGGAGCATCATGGGTAAAAGAATGGGAGGTCCGTGTTGTGTTCCGAAGTCAGAAGAGAAACAGCTCAAACTTCAGCAGCCTGGAAGGGGGTGGGGGCAGGAATGAAAATCCTGAAGCTCTTTTTCCTGAAAAGCTTTCCAAACAGGTGAAGACCTTGCCTATCTTGAACTGTCTCAAAAGACCTATCTGACTCAGATTCTCAATGATCCAAACCTGATTACTTAGCAGGGGATTTTCCTAGCTTCAGTCAGTGTGTTTTTACTCTATAGACAGCCATGTACCTGTCTGTTTGATAAGGAGTCCAGGTACCTTGAATCCACAGAAAATTCCTAACATGTTTTACCCAGTAGTTTCTGATCTTTCCTAAGACTGCTGAGATAGTAGCAATAGTATAGACAGACTGAGGTTTCACCTTTTTGCCCTTCCCTGCTGCCTTCTTCTGCTCGACCCACCCTGCCACCCACTCAGAGGTGCTGGAGGGGGCTCAGGCAGGCAGCACTGAGGGTGAAGAGGCCAGATGGGGGTCTGCACAATCCACAAACTGGATTATCTGCTTGTACTGAGTTGCACCTGTGTAAGCGGGCGGCCAGTCTGCAGACAGGATGTACGGGATGAATTGGGGGGAACCACATTAACTCACAGAAGGACAGAGATCTTCCGATGAAATCTCCCACCTGCTCATCTCCCATCCAGACCATTAATCCAATCAGTCTCTCAGTCTTTCCATGACTGACGCACACACCATTGAGGCCCTGGTGTCCAGGAACCATCTGCACCCAAGGTCTTCTAGATCTGGCTTCTGAGCCAGGGATTCGGGGGCACATGATTTACGAGGGCACGGTCTCAGAGAAGGGGAGCCAGCTGGGGCAGGAGAGGAACAAAGATGAGGTTGTGCAGCTGGAGTCTAATTTTGGTGTGATCCTGGCGGGGGCAGCTCTGGATGGAGACTGGAACCAGGAAAGGATCCCTCCAGAGACAAGGGAGGTTGGTCTTTTACATCCTCAGCAGTCAGCTAATCAGTTGCTGCTTGTTTAAGTCTCCAGAGAATGGACCGCCAGGAGCCCTTGGAACCAAAACCTAGAGCCAGTCCAGGGGATCTGGGTGGGGCATCAAGGGCATCTCAGGGTGTAGCCCGAGAAGACAAGAGCCAGCAGACCTGGGCAAGCCAGAGTCTTGATTGCTAACTTCGTGTGGCAATCTAGTTCGTTTGCTACTCTCACCCTTGACCTCAGCCTTAGCCTCAGCCCTTATCTGCTTTTGTCTCACCTTGTTTCTCCTGCTGTTTATATTTTTGTCGCTGGTTCCCGAGATTGGCCTGTCCCTCTCTTTTCTGGAGTTTATCTGAAGCTCTGGATGAAGCGCTGAGTTTCTTCCAGAGCTGCCAGGAAGCCAGGGCTATGGAGTCATCCCAGCTGA